GCATGCCACAGCCGCTCTATCACGTGATGCATACTGCTCCGACGTGCTAACGTTCTGAGGTGAGTTACGGCGTGTTGCGAGTTTTGTGAGGTGCTTTCGTGATATTTAATGGATCGGACTACATTTTTTATTTTTCTCCGATATCCGATCCAGTAATTTAGGTCAGTATCGGACCGATACCGATACTTAATATCGGATCGGTCCATCTCTAATATATACTGCCTGTGACACTGTTTAACGTGAGCGGTTTGATGGTCCGGGGAGGAGGATGCACAGACCTCTACAGTGCAACGGCTCAATCCTTGGACCTGCTGTCAGACCCTACGCTGGCTCCTCCTGGTGCATGAGGATGTGAGAGCTTGCAGGCACTTCCTGGATGATGAAGGAATTGATCCAATGAACTTGCCTCCAAGCTCACCACACCTCAATCCAACACAACATCTTTTGCACATGTTTCTGTACCTAAGAGTTTCCAGCCTGAGCTCAGCGATGGTCCAGACCTGGGAGCAGATGATCAGGACACCATCAGGCATTTGGAATATGTCCGGATTGGCATACACACAGCACATGGAAGCCATATAAACTGCTATCATTTTGAGTTAGATGGCATTTTGGCTTTCCACATAATTTTTTCAGTTCCAGGTTGTCTTTGAATTTAGCTCTCTGTCTTGGGTTGGGGGGCGGGTGTCTCTGGAGTGGAGGGGTGGTGCCAGGGCAGCTGCTGCCACTCAGTAATCAGATTCTCCCTTTTTTCAGTGACGTTGGGGCTGGAGTGGACCGCAGAGTGTGGAGTAGAGACTGAAACGCTGACTGCCCCGACGTCAGAGTGATGGAAAGGAAAAGTACGTGGGGTGCGTTCATTTCACACAAATGATGTAACACCAGATCTCAGTCCGACAGAGGTCCTCTGGGATGTGACAGGAGCTGACAAATCAACTGCAAGATGCTACGATATCAGTACGGGCCAGAGGAACCATGGTGAACCTGTGCCAGAAAGAACTAAGGCAGCTCCGAACCAGCTGGTTCTGATGTAAACATCTGGTTCATGAACAGCTGTCCAAACTACCTCAAATGTGCAACTTACCTGCTTGCAGTGTCCGAACGATGTGGGAAGGCATGCTAGGCTCTCCACTGCCCAAGATGTTGCTGGCGATAACCTGGAATTCATAATCCGTCCAGGGAATCAGTCCTGTCACACGAGCTGACTCTGCGTTTCCTTCAATGTTCACTGGATCTGGTGCACAGTGACACGTTTATTTCAATCAAAAACACTGATAGGAAAGTTTTACTGACCAACACTGTGCTAATGTATGAACACAGACACACCCAGTTCACTTTAATAACAACCCGACCCGATGAGTGTGTGAGTATACTGATACTAATGCTGTACAGGTTTCATGCATGCGCTTCCATCAGAAGCGTGTTAAAGAAGTCTGACATGCAGACGGACAGCAACATGTTTGAATCGCCACTATCTTCACTCGTCCTGTACGTCTACACGTCCGTCTGAGTTTCATCGTCAGCATTATTCCCTGTTTCACAGTGTGAGTCTGCCCTCAGCTCTGCTGCAGGTTTCCTCGCTGTTGTCACGGAGGGCTTGCTAACAGGGGCTCATCTGTTTGTTGGGGTTTTCTCTGGGTCTTTACCTTCAAATATAAAGTGTCTGTATGTGTACGCATGTGATTCAGGGCTGTATACATTTAATTCCAACAGTTTTTAGTTCCAGTAAAAACTGTCCTGACAAACATCTCAGTGTGTTATCTACAAGACCTGATAAATGACAAATACAGAAGAGAAAACAGAGTTATTTATAACAATGTTGGAGAGGCTGGAGTGTGTGCTGCTGACTGACTGAGTCTCTGAGCAGGGATGTGATGAAAAAGCTGAGAACACCAACATCAGCCTGACATCTCAGAACAATCGATAAAAACTCCGTGAGAATGAAATCCTTTTGCTGCATTCTTGTTATCATTGTATTGTTGGTTTTGTTATTACTAGAAGCACAACAAGAATACTCCTTTTGTTCAGGTGTATGGTTAAAGACACACACACCTGTCCTCATCTTCCTCCACTCAGACGACAGAGGAGAGCGGCCCATGATGACGTATTTGCCGATAGGACTGTGGTTATCGTAACCACGGCTCCACCTGAGTTCCACTGATGTCTCAGCCACGTTCTTCACCAACAAACCTCCAGGAGGTCCCGGGGGTCCTGTTCAAACCAGAGACAAGTTTCAACATATGACACAATCTCCACATCGACAGAGTAAAGCAGTAAAAGTTGGTTTACCATAACACACGTCACACAATGTCAGATGTCTGCCTACTGCTACGTAGATGCCAAATCCTTACTTTAACACCAGGAGGCGCTATGCTAACTCCAGACTTATTACAGCTGTATAGGTTGAGCTACTCCCCAGTAAAACCTGTGATCCCTTTACTCCTTTGCAAATCCACCTCCTATTATCTTCTTGCTTTAGTGTGACTGCCCATCTTATCATTGTTCTGTGATTATTCTTGTCCAGCAGCTTTCCAAACCTTTGAGTTGCCTTTAATAAACACAGGCGGCTTTAGTGCATAGAATAAAGTGCTGTCTTTGAAAAACATGAGTGTGACAACTACAGTTTCATCTTTTTTTAAAACTACTATGTGAGTTTAATTACATTTGCTTTCATTAAAACAGAAAGCTATCATATGGGTCTCTTTGCCCTGAAGCTGTCTTCCCATGCAGTGTTAGCTTAAACATCACACGAGTCCATAGACGGGACCCTCACAGGTAATGCTTGGCAGTGTTCTGAGTGTGATCTAAAACTCATGCTCACAAGCATTATAATCTATGTTCAGTTCAATTCAGCTTTATTTATACAAATCACAACAACAGTCACCTCACAGGGTTTTATATAGCAAAACCAAACAGGCCTTATTATGTAAATGCAGAGTAGTGAGAGTATGACATCAGAGGACAGCTGTTTCACCTCGAACCACCAGCTTAGCTGAGGCTGCGGCGCTGTCCACCACGGTCTGAGCTGTGCACACGTACGTCCCCGCCTGGCTCAGCTGAGCCCTCACAATCAACAGGTCACCAGTGTTTTCCTTCTGAAAGGACACACACAGAGACACACACACACACACAGAGACACACACACACACACAGACACAGAGACACACACACACACACACACACACACACACACACACAC